CAAATTGCTGTAAGGTTAATGTGCGTGCTGACTAGAAATTAACTATTAATTAAATGCATGCAATATTTTTGGATGACTTAATCCACAATAACTAGGAGGTTCTTGATGGAGCTCATGATGATCATTTTCTGTTCTGACAAAAACCCTTAAACTCCATGCAATTACATATATATAAAGCTTCTTAAACACTTTAATAGGCAAACTATATATATATATATATATATATATATGAATGTATTCTCTTGATGAAAGAATGCGAAAAGTGGCCAAGCCACGAAGTAACTAAACCATAACCAGTTTTCCAAAATCATGTTCCTTGTCATAGTGCATAAAACGCATAGAGATTTTCTACCCATATTGCCTCTCATTTCACTTTCGTTTGGAGAACGTGGACTTGCACAACGTTGACGGCTATTGGCATTCCATTAAATAGGGTCAGTTAAGAGCTTGTTGGACCATGGACACTGCTAGAGCTGGCAATGATCAAGTAGTATTAAAGATGATGTCCCCAATAGTCCTTTCTCTGCCCATTGTGAATCTTGGATCCAAATAATTAACCAAACCTCTCCACAAACTATATCTATTTTTTTAAAAAGAAAAAAAACAACATTTAAAATAATAAAATATTTATAGGTCTCTACTTTTAGGCGTGAGAAATTGTGTTTTGTATAATTTTTCATTTTAGTGTGATTGATTATATTCAACGGTCAAAAAAAAAAAACTAACACTGAACTCTTATTGTGGAAGGACCTTGTATAATTATTTCTATTTTTTTTTTTTTAAACTCTTTGGGACCCCTTCCTTTTGGTCCTTTCGTGCATGAAATCATTGAAGATACCCATTCACAAGCATAGAGCCCACCTCAATAAATTTCCTCTCTAAGGGTACTTGTCAAATACCAAAAATGCCCTCCCGAAATCTCTTTTGAAAAACGAATTAAGGGATCAGTCATTAAGCACAGCACTTGAGTCACAATCACCACCAAATGGCCACCGGATCACCTCTATTGGCTTTGGGCAAGCTTTGGATCGATCTGGTTATAGTGATGAGATTAGCTAGCCGGTCGGGGAATATACTAGAATGACTATCCAACAACGTGAAATTAGCAAAATGATCTTCTTCATTTTTTTTATGAAGAATGACCACCTAATCATTCTTCATAAAAAGTGGTCATTTTATAAATAAAAATTTTTAAAAAATTATTTTATTAATAAAATTTTTCTATTGAGTTATTTTTACAAACCCCTCAGCCGGCCCCACCATTTCGTGTGGGTGCCACCATAGTTTGTCTCTTGAGATTAATTGTAGCTAGGGTTGTACACCGTATTCCTTTGGTAATTTGTTGAAGTGTATGATATATATATATATATGTATATATAATCAGAGAGATGTAGATCCTTCCAGTGATTGGACAGTAATTCTAACAAACTTATGATAATCACCGTGCAGTGTGCAGTGGATTTGTATGATGGTCTTTTCTCATTTAATTAAAACGTATAGGTTTGTGTATTAGATTAGATTTATTATTATTATTATTATCTCGTGTGTTTAGATTATTTCGGATTGGAAATATTTCACTTCGTTTTTTTCAGTGCGACAGAACATTCACGCTGATATATAAATAATATATATATATATATATAATATTATGATTATTGTGTTCGAAATTCAATCCCTAAAGTAATGCTTGTACACACACCCACACACACACTACACATGTAGAAATTTGGGATTTATTTTATTTGATGCATATTTTTAAAGGGTTGCAAATTAAGAAAATTAATATAGCAGGAAATATGCCTTGATAATGCTTTGCTTCAATTAATGCTCAATACGTGTAAAGATGCTCACCGCGGGATGAAGAAAGTTCCATGTATTTTCCAAAGCCAAAACACCATATATAATCTTATACACCTGTATTCTGATACTTAGAGCCCGTTTGGTTGGATGATTCGTTTTCTGATTCGAATCATGATTCATGATTCGTTACAGTATTTTCTCTCACAAAAAACACACGTAAATTGAAAATGATTCTAATATCATGATTCTAATCTATGAACCAAACGGACTCTTATACACATTCTTTTTTCTGTGACTTCTCTTTTACGTTAGATTCAAATACGAAGGCACAAGGCTGCAAATTGATAACTTTTGAAGGTTTTTGGTGAATTTTCTATTGAACTAATTGGTAAGTATGTTCCTTAAACTTTTAATCTAACAAATTACTCTCAAAATTTAGTAAAACATTGATGGTAGAGTGTCTCCAAATCGATGAATAATTTTAAAATTTAAAACGAAACAGACTCTTATACTCGTGACATGATATATATATGTTTCATTTATCATTCAAAATTCCAGTTGCTTTATATTAGAAAGAGCTCGTGTGTATGGATATTTTTGTTTAAATTTTAATAATCATTATCAATTTAGGACCTTCTGTAACACTTTGTTAACTTCGGACAATTGTTACCAAAATTTACAGTTTAAAAGAGCAACGTACCAACCTGAATTGCAACTTATGTATATCACCATTAATATCAATATGGTGTTGAAGCAACGGTGTAAAATGGGCACTCATCAAATTGTCAACATCTGATACTGAAAGCATATGTATGGTAGTAATGTCATATGCTTAATGTACAATATGCAAGCTACGTTTCTAATGTACATGTGTTTTTGTCGCTTTGTATTGTGAACACTGCATCAATTGGCCGTCTTATGACTTATATAGTGTCGTCATGATAAATGGTACATACATATATGTGTATTTACTCTTGTGACACAGTCACTTCCCCACCAAAAAAAAAAAAAGAAAAGTTATGAGATGCGTAGTGTTTTTGCTAATGACTAGCCATTAGCCGCTGGGTGGAAATTGGTGACCTAATGTTGCTTTTGACCATTTGATAGACGGGAAAAGGGAGAATTGTTGAGAAAACCACCATTTAGAACCATAATTTTAGTAGGGTGACTATTATTGAATCACACACTCATTTTTCTGACTAGTACTTTACAATTAATAATCTAAATTCTATACAATTTTACTCTATTACAAAGCAACATACTACGATTGTGTAAATTTTAAGTCTCGTTCATTTCACCGATTCGAGTTTTACTACAGTAAAAAACTCTCACATAAAATCACATTTCAACTCAAACTAAAAACTCGAATCAGCGAACTAAACGAACCCAGCTGCATCTTTAATAACACTACATAGCATTTGTGCAAAATTAAGCAAAACAAGACCTTGCTCTGAGTAATAAATAAGTTCATGGTAACTTTGTATATAGGTAATTATCGGTACCACTAGTGGAGTCATAGGGTGCTGACATGGATCGATTATAACAATCATCTCAATCACATTGGTGCGAAAAAAAAAAAAAAAAAGTTACTCTGACTCGGGAGAGAAATGGGGTCGTTTTGGGCGAAACTTTTAATTAATTGCAACCTACCTTGAGTCCATTAATTTACACCATGTGGAATTGCTAATTGGTCAACAACCTAAGAACCCAATAAATACTTCAAGCTATTCGCTTTATGGGTATTGATTTTTCTGCTCATAATTGCACTGTTCGATTTGATCTCATGATTCTAGACAATAGGCTTGTCAATGTATATGTATATATATATATATATATATATCCAAGTTACATATATAATAGCTTCAAACTTATGTTTAGTCGAGTTTGTGTAATGTATCGGTTCATGCCCACATATAATGGTTTGTGTTTGTTTAATTAGATGAAATCAATCAAATATCAATAGACTTCATAGAAAAAAAACCGTTTCTAAATGAGTTTATGCAGGAAAGCACACTGGGAAATTATAAGCGTAAAAAGTTCGGAAAATGGATTGTTCTCTTGTATTGTTTAGTCGAAAGAACGAGAATCTGCATTGTATTATAAAAAATACTGTAATTGTTAGACAGGGGAGCTAAGGCGCTAACAGGGTTGCAGTCTCGGGCCGAAGTGGCTCCTTTAATTTTTTAAAAATATTTTTTCTCTTCTTTTTTTTTTTTTTTTCCTTGTTTTGTCCCCTTTAAACTTTTTTTATTCTAAATTTTAATGCCGTAAATTGTTTCTTTTATACTTTTAAGTTTGATCTAAATTAATTTTTTATTTTTCCCTCCTAAAATTCTCTAATTCTAAATTTCATGGAGAATGTTTAAAAAGTTTTATTCACGCTTCATTATATTGACCTAAAAGACAAGTATTCTGTCAAGTATTCAACAGAAATCAAATATTCAGTACAAAATCAAAGTTTGTTATGTTTTAATGGTGGGAAATTTTAACTAACGTTATTGTTTCTAGGCAATGACGGAGACAGGGGGCTGGGGGCCATGGCCCCCTAACTCTTTTTTTTTTTCCTTCCTTTTTTTAATATAGTGATTTTAATTTTAATATAGTAGATATGTGTATAAATTAAACTTGACACCCTTAAATTAATAACTCCATATATTTAATAAATAAAAATTATTACATATATATACATGTTAGTATAATCTTAATAAAAAAATAATAATTGACCTTATCAATAAATTCTGACTATGTCACTGTTTCTAATATTTTTCTTTAAAAAACCGGTTTTTTTTTTTTTTTAATGAGGGTAATATATATAGGTCTTTTTGCGTTATTAAATATGATTGCAATGATAAGTTCAATGTTGTTTTTAGAAACGCATGAAGACAGATTCTCGTGTTCTGATTAAGCATAAAGAAGATTTGTTCTTATTATATAATGCGAGAAAAAAAAAAGTTAGGCCAATGTCTTAGAGAAACCACAAATGATGACACTAAGCAATTATTTTTGGTGACGTCTCGAAAAGATCTCGATGGACTTAATTATGTAAAAAGACAACATTGAGACCATTCATTTTCCTTAAAGAATATCTTTTGTACCACATATACACACACACACACACACATATATATATATATATATACACAACACACACTGCCATACCACATGCATATGCATTTTTACAACATGGAATGTGGCGTTGTTTTTCATCCATCTATATATGTAGCTAGTAGAAAAAAGGGTACTATTGTCATGTAAATTTCTACACAAACACACACTAGTCACTGAACAAATTTATTTCTTTATCCCATTTATGTCGCTGACCTCTCTCTCCTCTCTACGACTCTACCCATCTCTTCATTTACAAAGCAAAGTGACAAATCCACATTCTCTCTCTCTCTCTCTCTTCCTAAGTACCACTTCTCCATTATTATTTATTTTGTTTTATAAGGAAGCGCGGAAACCGCTAGTTTCTTTGGTCGATTTTTCCACCAAATCTCCAGATGGGTCGGTCACCATGCTGCGACAAGGTGGGCTTGAAGAAAGGACCTTGGACTCCTGAAGAAGACCAGAAACTCTTGGCTTATATTGAAGAACATGGCCATGGAAGCTGGCGTGCCTTACCAGCAAAAGCAGGTATATATATATATATATATATAATATGCATATATATATATATATATATGTGTGTGTGTGTGTATAGTACTAGTATAATTATTTTAAGCTTCTGTAAATTAGTTTTGATCAGGTCATGAATAAGGAAGTACAGTCCTTTTTTTTTTTTTTGGAAAAACCCTTTTTTGTTTGTTGTTGTTAATGATCTTTTATATATTATATAGGGCTTCAGAGATGTGGAAAGAGCTGCAGACTAAGATGGACTAATTATTTGAGGCCTGATATCAAGAGGGGAAAGTTCAGTTTGCAAGAAGAACAAACCATTATTCAACTCCATGCTCTACTAGGGAACAGGTATATACACATATACATATATACATATATGTGAGCTGATCATTATCATATATAATCTACAACTACAAGTTTCTTGCATTATTGTTAGACACCATTATGTTTTTCCCTCTCAGAGAAAAAAGAATACCAAATGGCTTTCTTTATGTGGTCAACTTTAATTTTCTGAATCAGTCCTTATAAGCTTTCATTAATTTTTGTCCGGTCATGGGTGTTAATTAGTAGTCTCTTCCTCAACAATTGCGTTTAATGTTGAAATAGATCAATTATTGACTAATTAATGTTGACATGATGCTAACCCAATACTCTTTTTTTTTAAGTTCCTTTTTTTTTTTACTTGTTAGATTTATTATTCATATTTCTTTTTCTGGTCCTGTATAGTCGTTTATTTATATGTTTTTGACTCTTGAGTTTATTTTCGGAGGAAAAAAAAAAAAAAAAAGAAAAGGCAAAGAATCACCCTTAGCATTATATGTACACCTCTCTTTTGCGTGATATGCTTTAAATGTGATGGCCTTTCTGATTTAACCTCAACCAGCCAGTCTCTGACCTAAATTAAAAGTATTCAGTACTCATGGCAAATAATTTCATTCATGATCTGCTGACTCAGATTTTGAAATGTGATTTTCCTCCATTTCCCAGGATTTACTGCTTCTGACACACCAAAATTCATCATCATAAATAAACACCTATCCTTAAATGCCAGAGATATCAGTTGTATATTTCATATATAGCTAGTTTTTTTTTTGAAGTTCATATATAGTTAGTTTCTTTCTCATACATATGCTCTCATCTCCCAATTAATGGGTTTTTCCTCTTCCTTTTCTTTTCTGTTCTTTTTTCTTTTTGGGTATTGATCAAAACCACATTAACTTAACTTATAAAAAAAAAAGTGTACTACTCTTTTTTAAAATTTCCGTCCAGAAACTCTACATTTTATAATAGAAATATAAGTGAATTTAGCGCTAAATTACACCTGCTATCACAATTGGTACTATTTTTTAGGATTTTATACCCATAATATATGTTGTACTCCTAATTATTGATTTGATATTTTGTTTTTTGGTTAGGTGGTCGGCTATAGCAACCCACTTGCCAAAGAGAACAGATAACGAGATCAAAAATTACTGGAACACCCACCTCAAGAAAAGGCTAGCCAAAATGGGAATAGACCCTGTGACCCACAAGCCCAAAAACGACCTCCTCTCAAACGACGGTGCTCAATCCAAAAACGCAGCCAATCTTAGCCACATGGCTCAGTGGGAGAGTGCTCGGCTCGAAGCCGAAGCCCGGCTCGTCAGAGAATCTAAGCTCCGAAACAACTCATGTTCCTCACACTACTCGGCTCCAAAGCCAGCCGAGCTGCTCACTACTGCTGCTGCTGCTGCTAATTCCAACATTATCATGCCTAATTGGAATAATAATGTCGTTTGGTCGAAGTCAACTGTCGTTCGCGGAGACCTTGAGTCTCCCACGTCAACACTTACCTTCTCGGCCGAAAAACGCAGTAACAATGCTGTCGTTCATGAGTTTGTTGGGTCTTCCTCTGCCTCCTCCGAGACCGGGATGATCAAAGAAGAAGGAGAGCAAGATTGGAAAGGATTTGGAAATAATAATAATAACTCTACTACTAGTTTGAACGACCAACATTATGATCAAGAAGGGTTGGAGAATTCGTTGTCGTTTACTTCAGGGCTTGGAGTTGGAGGGACGTGGACAAGTAGTACTACTAGTGCTAATAATGCTCATGATGTTGGCATTGACGTTAATATTATTGCTGAGGATCAGGGGTTCACTAGTCTTTTGCTTAACAATTCCGACGACCGGAGTTTGTCCGATGGCGGCGGCTGCGACTCCGACAACGGTACCCGTGGGAGTGGAAGTGGGAGTGATCAGCACTATCATGATAATGAGAATTATTGGAATAGCATTCTCAATTTGGTGAACTCTTCACCTTCTGATTCTCCAATGTTCTAAGATTAATTCCCGGCCACACACAAGGTTGACTTTGAAACCTCTAGTCAAACCCCGGTTAAGCACTCTCGGTCTTATTTTTATTTTTATTTTTTTTAATGTTGTGAATTATAAGTTAGGTTAATACCACATAGAAATATTATTTGCCAAAATTGTTACTAGTTCTTCCACGGTATTCAGATATATGTGACATGTAATAAAATGGTTCACATGCTTTGGTATAGTTGTGAAAGCAACTGCTATTGCAGTTTTGGCACAAGTGATCTCTCTCTCTCTCTCTCTCTCTCTCTCTCTCTCTCTCTCTCTCTCTCATATCAGCTCTAGCTGTTTGTTTCAGCTTGGTGATCAAGTAGTGCTCATTTTATCTGAGTGACTCTTCAGTTATATTATTCCTTGCATATCTTCGGATAATTCCCACATGAAGAGGATATGGGGCTATAATGAAGTGTTGGGATATACATGGATTCTTTTGAAGAAAACTGATTCTATATTTCTAATGTTCAGAGTGTGTGAACAAAAGAACTTTATCCAAAATAGTATATCTCCCTGTATATATATATATATATATATATTTAAAAAAAACTTTAAAATGTCCAATATATATCATGTGTATTTATTATGGTCTTTATTGCTGTTTGTTTCATGTCGCTTTCTGCTTATTAATTATGACCAAGATTTTTATTTTTGATGTTCTCTCCCTCTGCAACCAGTAACTGAACGTTAATTAGCAATGAAATTCAAGCTCAAATTATTATTATATCACTATATCAGACCGAGACTTCAATGACCGCAAGAGAAGTACATACGGAGAGCACTATAGAAAATGGCGGTATAAGTAAGCTTTTAAACAAGCCATAAAAAAGAGAGAGAGAAAGAAAAGAAAACTATATCAAATATCTAGTCACTAACATTGCGGCTATTCAATTTGAATTTCATGATGTGGGGTAGTAATTGATGATGGCGATGATGAAGATGAAGCTACTGGCTCTCCAAATATAGAAATGTTTTCTTGCTAATCAACCTTAGGAGAAATGTTTGAAAACCACAGTATATGTGGACACATACATATTATATATATATATATATATAATATATACATCTACATTTTCACTAAAGTGCCTGTATATGCTTAGCTAGCTAAGACCCCCTAGTTCTTTGATCCCTCATGCATTAATCTTCATTATTAGCTGATGATCAATCTCATCTGGATTTAATATTTCAACTTCTGGGCATTGGTTTTTGACTTATATATAATACAAAAGTATGTGACACATATTGATTCATGTACTATCTTTTTATGTAAATATTTTTATACTATTAGACAGTACTACAATATGTTGCTTATATTCTAATACAAAGGATCAAAAGTATCTTGCCAAATCATTCAGGATATGCAGCATATCTTTTCATATCTTTCACGTTTTTATAGCAAATATGCGTGTTATTGCACTAACACGTAAAGATTGAATCTCTATTCTTCTAACTTTTTTACGTAGGCCTCTTAAGTGGGATGTTGATTGATGGCTTGGCCAAGGGGGGTTTTTGATGGTTGGTTGGGCCCTTTTTTTTCCTTTTAAAAAAAAAAAAAAAAAAAAAAAAAAAAAAAAAAAAAAAAGCGACTTGAGGAGTTGGTGCTGGTATTTCATATTTTGTATCCTCAGTTGATATTAGAATCATATCCGAGATCAAAGAATACGTAAATTTGACAGACCAAAGATTTAACAACGTAGAACCATAGATTACTATAGGATATTTTTATACCCCACCGAAGAATTTTCCAAAAATAAAAAATAAAAGAAAAATGTAGACAGAAGGGGTACTTTATAATTATTATATGGGAAATGGTCCCTCTGAGAAAAATGGTGCCGGATTTCATTTTTGCCGGCAACCACCGAAACATGGTTCCCAACTTCCCCATTTTAGATCATCTCTTGGCTTGCTGATCTTCTAAATTACCTTTTCTTTATTTATTTTTTCTTTTGGGAATAAAAAAAAAGGTATATAGAGGAATATTGAAAATGAATGATTCATATAACTTCAACGTGTCCTCCTATACTAAAAATTCGCAACGTAGGGGGACAAGCCAAATCATGCTCGTTATAACTAAGCAATAAGCATTATTAATAATAATAATAAAAAATACCTAACCAATTAGAATGTCTTATAGAAAAATAAAATAATAAGAAAAGCTGAGCATTAAGCATGGGCTATCTTAAACAGATATTATGTGCAACTTTTCTGTCTAGTCCAGCGAAAAAAGAAAAGAGCTTCCCAATGCATTGCTCAAATCTTATTGCATTAGTTAGCTTTTCATGATTTCTGGTCTTTCATTATCTATCATTTATGTATAGTATGCGTTTAGTTAGTGTATTCATATCATGATTTAAATCATAGTTTGTGATTCATTATGATATTTTTTCTCACAAAAAAAAACACGTAAATCAAAAATAATTCTGAATCATGATTCTGAATTCATAAACCAAACATCCACTTAGTGTTTCATTTCTTTTTTCCCTCTTATTATCTATTAGCAATAAATAAAAAGGCATCTATGATATTGACAAGCAAGAAGCTTGGAGATTATTGTTATTTGGCACAACATATGCGCTAGTCTGGTCATGTGGGTGTGAATAGAACCTCTAAACGTGTCTTTGATTCCATCAATAAATTGTGTGCTTCTAAAAGAACAAATTCAGAATAATCTCATTTTAAGCACTTTAATATATTGTTTAGGGTTAAACTCATTTTGAATCTCGGACTATAAACCAAAGTCCTAAAATGTTCCAATGTCCCAAAACAAGTCAACAATCTATTAAATTGTCCCAAATTAATAACTTTGTCCATCCGACTCTTAAAATCTGTATGAGAACAAGCAACACTTCCTTCATAACAAACCCGCCCTAACCTGTAAAATTACATTGTTAACTCTCGCTAAGTCACACATGGTTCTCATGTGCTTTTTATTGCTGAGATTTTAAGTCGAATAGACACAACGACTAATTTTAGACAACGTGATACCTTAAAGACTTATTTTAAGATGTTATAAAAGTCAGAGACTAAAATGAAATTTGACCTATATCTCAGAGACTAAAATGGTATTATCCCCTTCTTTTACTCATAAGTCATAGCATATTAAATCAAGGGAAGGAAAAAAAAAATATATATATATATATATATGTAGCAGACACAACGTATTCTTGAGCAAGATCACTTTGAGATAAAACATAGTTCACTGCACAGTAGTGAAGCTTCTGATTTCTGATGGTTCAGTACAGATCCATTTAAACTAGGAAGTTGTTCCTGTGTTAAAACAATGATTGCATCTTACCTCTTCCGTGAAAATCAGATTATTGTTATTCCATGAATACAACACATAAATAGAGCCCTAAAGGGGAAGAAAAGGGAAATTCTACCTACCTTTCTCTATGTCATCAAAGAGCTAGGGAAAATCAAAATAAAACAGAAATACCAATCATTTAAAAGAAGATAAAAATAAAATGCTTGGACTTATAAACAAGAAACTCCAGCATTATGTCCATCTTTTAACACCAACCACTTGACTAAAGCAGGATATAGCACGCCTCTTCAATTAGAACTATAATTGAAACGACCTCCATAAGTTGGATCCTACGTGATATACATTCTTGAATTGAATAATGGTGCCTAGTTATAAATGCGTGAAGATAAGGATCGAATTCAACATGTCAATTTCTTTTCAAAAGTCAGTTTCAAACGTGTACCAAAACACAGCCAGTGTAAATTATCACAGCAAATTGATATAAACACATAATCACTTCAGCTCTAGGTGTCGGTAGGTTTTTTTTTAATTTTTATTTCTATTTTTTCATTCCTTAATAAAGATCTACTAATAAACTAAATCTCAAATGCTAAAAGAATACAGCCCTCAAATGCTCTAGGTCTGTAACTATTATTTTTCTTGGAACTCGTGTGTAACCATGCTACATTTTTTTCTTAATCAAATGCACACTATTATACATATCATTTTCTGTTGCCTCTTTCAGATTTTTTTTTTAACCTTAATCAAATGCACACTAATATACATATTACATATCCAATCTACGTGGAAAATAATTGTTATGCACCATTCAGTAGTGTCATGATTTCATTTTTAATTTCGTAGTCACATAACAATAACATTTCCACATATGCAGCAATTCCTCCTTACATCTTTCTCTCAAAATTATATATATATATATATGTGTGTGTTATACTTGTAAAAAAAAAGGAGAAAACCAAAATTAGTAGTTATTTTCTCAATAAATGAGAGGATTGTGCAGCCAGGCTGTGTTGAAAGCTGTGGAGCAATTGAGAAATTTTGGCCACGATTTTGATGCAAAAGGTTCAACCTTAAATTATGTCTGCTTTTGATCTTTCCCCTCTTCCTTTTCAATTTTATCCTCATTTATGCACATGAACATTTATTTCAGTGTATGCACTTCACATGCGTCTTAAATAGCCTGCACTGCAACCAACCGCCCACATTCAATGAGCTTCTCACCTTGTGGTTCACATACCGGCTTTGTACTGAGATAAAGGGCATCCCATATAATAGTAGTTGACTGAAACTACTTCATTTGTACCAAAACTCGTCTGATGTTAATCTTCAATAAATCTTGCATTATCAAAGAAAAGACAAAGAAAAGTGTTTAATAATAAAATTATAAACCAGCAGTTAGTTTAGTGGGGTGATAAGGCTACTTATTCTTCTGAATAAGATTTTTTTTGTTCGAGTCAATCCTACCATAATACGGGCACAACCCAATTCTATGTGGTGATACCTTATTTTCGAAAATAAATTATCTGTGTATGCTACTTTCCATTCCTGTAAGATTTTGTTTCTTTAGAAAACAATAAAACCATAAGAAATGGTTTAAAAGCTTCAGACTAACATCAGAAAAATTCTTCAAACAAAAATTGGTACCAGTTAACATGTTTTGTGGACAATAATCAGGAAACAGACACCAAACACTACCAAATTATAATGTGGTTTCTCCGTCCTTACTCCAGAGAATTGCACGTTCACGAAAAGATACTAATGACACTATGGTAACATGCAGATTAAGAACATTCCACTAACATGTTGATAAATCACAAGGAAAATCCCCTTCTTTTACTTATATTTACCTGGCCTATATAAAGGTTAGAATTAATACAATAGCTGGCACTTGATAGGTCCTTTCACATGCAAAAGGACTTGGTACTAAGAGTGTAAC